GCACGACGTTAACCCCAATTTCACCTCACCTCACATCAGTCGAGAATTATCGTTATTTTCAGGCTATAAATCCCTGTCTATTACATATACAGTTTCATTCTACTGGTAACTGTTTATCTTGATAATTAAAACCCAGGTAGCATGCCATCATCGGCCCGACGTCGTCTAATATCGGCATCGTTGAACAGCGCTGGGCCGACAGCGGGCCAATGTAACCCAGATAACACATAATATTTTCCAAACATGTTCATAAGGTTTAAACTGATTTATCAAAAATATTTTCGTCAAAACACACTCACAATCTTAAAACAAGCCTCTCAACTACTTAAAAGCATTAATTATTCAAATGGTTTTTTTAAAGTTGTTCATGAAGAAATAAATGTTACCGCGGGAAAGGACGTCGGAATGACGTCACACGTTCACGTCATATTTTTGCACCCGCCATCTTAGTTGAAGTTTATTGAGGACGGTACAACAATGTCATTGTGCAGCAACTAATGAAACTCGGGATCATCGATCTGACCTCGGTTGCAGTAAGTTAACTTTACAGTCACTACCCGGTTGTTGTTATGTTTATGCACATTGTGATATTCACTCGATCGTGCTACTCAGAAATCGCGAGGATTTGAGCAGCCGTACACGATCTCTTAGATTCGGTGTTGTTAGGCTTCCAATAGAGAATATTATGTATGTTGTTGTGAAGGAGACCTAAGGGAGTTTGCACCATATTAATTTCATGTTTGATACAAAGTTTTATTCAGCTATCAATGGCAAGCAGTATGTTCTTAAACAGAGTTCATGTCAGGCGGACATGTGTCGCTATTACGTTCGGTTTTCGATCTAGTAAGCGTATTCACAGCTCACAAGCCAGTGACACTTATCGTCGTTAATTTTGTTCCCTGTTATTTCTGAAATATATATTTTTTCAATTTAACATTACAACTTACAATCAATTTTTTAAGCTATGAAAAGTTCGCTGACTTCAGTCGGTGGGAAATGTTGCATCAAACTTATAACACGAAAATGGGGAATCAAAAGTATTCAAATACCTTATGGGCTATAAGTTACTGTCATAGTCTAAGTATGTTATTTAAAATGAATGTTCAGTCAGAAATGACCGAAGCGTACTTGGTAAATTACCGTAACACTGACTAAACTATATGTTGATCATCCGCGTGGTTGTTGTGGTTTTGCTTGTCTAACATTCGATGCACGTTATTTTCAGTAAAAGGCTATGTCAATATTATCAAAGTATAGTGTTTACATTGTGTATTCTTCAATTTTCCCCAAACTAATCAATATTCATTTTCGGATATGTATATGTCTCTTCTAAACGAGAGCCAGAAATAACATCTTTCCCGCGCTATAACGAGGCGTTGGCGATGACTGATCCTCGGCAATGTTCATTCAGTTTTTGATCGCCATGTTTTTTCATGATACAGTATTAATTATTCAAATTTACTTAGTCTTTGTCCAGTAAATGTAGACCAAATAAATTTCTTATAGTTAAGTTGATGTTCACCGAAACATTTTGCCAATGAGAACAAAATGTTTCGGTGAACGAAAACTGAACGAATATGGTTACAATGCTCGCAACGATATCATACCTCAGCAGTAACTGTTCCGCGAGTAAGACGCGAATCATGTAGCTAGTTACAATATAGCTATTTAATATATCAATTCAAGTTTGTATTCCAGGTTAGAATATATAGAAGCGCTGTCCAGTAACCATGTTTGTTGTAAAGGGGCAGAGTTATTTCCAGTCCAACTTTATTATTTAATACACGTTGGTGTTAAATCTACACACGTTGACCCCCCAAAACTGTAGGCTGTAATTATTACACAATATATTTCAGCATCGGACTAACTAGATTTATATTTGCTTGGGGAATCTAGTTCAATTTGTAACTTGTTATAATGTGGAACATTGTTATTTTCGTTGCAGCAAGGGCGAAAATAAGACACACGAATTCCGGCAGATACAAACAGAAGTGATGGAATTATTGAGGATTACATCAAATAATCCAGGAGCTGTGAATCAGTAAACGTAAGTGCATCTGTTAAATACCATTGTCTATATACTTGTTGGTGACGTTTTGGCTTTTTATTGCAAAAAAATGGATCTGTACCAGCACTCAGCCTCTGACCAACAAGAGTGATGGGGTTGTCGTTGCTATTCAGTGTGATTTGATACTGTTACCAAATTAGGCATTCAAGGATTTCCATTATTTTTCATTGTGTGCTGGTGTCCATAAAACACTTGCATATACACAGGTGCTGGATGACTTCATTAACTGATTATTGTCTCTTGATTTGACTTAATACACTTACTATACATTTGTTTTCTTTATTTCAGAAAAAATGGACCAAGTCGAAACCAAAGAAGAAGATTCTGAAATAATCTCGAAAAGTGTACGCGTTTTCTGAAAGAAATTAATAAAGAGTGTCGATTACATGTCTGCCATTCTTTTTTTATGTTCCTTGTTTAGAGTAACAATGTCTATTTTCCATAGACATGTAACCTTATTGTTAACGGTTAGTGTTTTACTGAAAAGTTAAAACCATATCTTGACAGAAAATGTTATTACAACGTTTCCTGAACCATAAACATTCACATGTATAAAACGTTTTCAGAAGCCGTTTTGGTGGTAACTGAATTTTATAACCAAACGTTCAAAGAACACACTGTTTCTGGAACCATACAAATTCATATGAATTAATCGTTTTAAAAACATGATATGTTTAGGGGATGTTTCTTCACATTTATATATATGTTTTGATACACATATAAAATAATATTCTTTTATAAATTGTGGTACATGCTATCAAATATGTATTCACCATGGACAAGTGAAGTGAGCAACTAAACTAACGGGCCAAAGGAAACGATACTAAGTCGAAATCACTTATATTACAAAACGACAAACCACCATTGTGTGAAAGGAAAGTGAATTTTAATAACAGGTGTATGGGCATGTGTATGCACATGCATTTACCCATACACCTGTTATCCAAATTCACTTTCCTTTTACACAATGGTGGTTTGTTGTTTTGTAATATCAGTGATTTCGACTTGGTGTCATTTCTTTTGCCCGTTAGTTTAATATTGCAGTGCCTGTAAAGTGACGACGTTGGGCCGATGCAGTGCCAATAAAGTATGCCGATGCTGAGCCGATGTAGGGCCGATGCAGGGCCGATACAGGGCCATTGAAGTTTGCCAACGTTGGGCCGACGTCTATACGATGAGCAAAACTTCATCGGCCCGATGAAGTTTGCCGACGTCGGGCCGATAATGCACGCGACATAGGGCCGATGTCGGGCCGATGATGGCATGCTACCTGGGAAGATCCCAATGATTCATATAGATAATTTATGCTCAGATTCTAGCATATCAATCTGACACTATCAATATTCAAACAATATGTACTTTTCATGTCCTGCTTGGTTCCTACTTTTCAAGACGTTACTAAATAACATGGAGTCAGTATCTTTTATAGTGCCCTGAAGAACGAATGTGAAGTTTCTTTTTTGACTCAGTATATATACAATTTCATTCTTTTAGTTACTGTTTATCTTGATATTTAAAAGATCCCAATGATTCATATCGATAATTTATGCTCAGATTCTAGCACATCAATCTGACAATATCAATATTCAAACAATATATACTTTTCATCTCCTGCTTGGTATAAGACCTTACTAAATAACATGCAGTCAATATCATTTGAGTCCTGATATATCTGATCAAAGTCTTTTACAAGACTCGGGAGATAGAAGTGTGTGTCGTTGTTTGAATTTGGTGAACACTGTGGTATCATACCGAATCCGAATACTGTATCGTGTAATTCCTGATAAAGCCGTTCCTTTCTCTTTCTTTGGGGCAGTCCCAGGCCAGATGAACAGCAGTAAAATTGCCAGGATTCGATGAAACTTTCAAATTCTGTACTTCACAAGGTTCTGAAAAAATATTATGTAATCATAAATTTTGATTATGAACAAAAATTAAAGAACTTCAAGGATACATCAAGGACAACCTAGACACATATTTACAAGACATTGACAAAAACACATTCCGGTTATGTCCTATAGCTAATGAGATGATGATACTGCATTACAATAGAAAACCAATACTTACGAGATTCCTGGGTTATGATGATGCGTCCTAAGTCTACGGGAAGGGGAAGCTCCTTTAGACGTACTGGCTGCAATGCTGAACGTGTACCTCCATGAGCTCAATAGGCCGTTAATGGTTGTTTTAGATGATTCGTATCCTGACGGGCAGAACATTAGCATACGTTGATTTCAGTTTGGTTTAAGAAGAATATGTCTCATTACTATTTAGTGATAATGAAAAATGATGTCCAACAATGAGTTCTTGGGGTTATACTCCCTTAAGCATATTTAACACTGCTGTTGACACCAAGATCGGCTTTTATCCGCTGTACATTTATAGAGTCTAATGGAAAGGCCTTTAGCATGACGAGCTAAATTTATGACGATTGCCACTGATGGGGCAGGCACACCTTGCGAACACCTGTGAAAAAATAGTAAATGCTGGTTCTGGTTTCATGAGTTTAATTCATGAGTTTAGGTATCAAATACAGCTGCATGGCATCAAGGTGTCACACACACCCTCACTCAAGAGCACATGTTATACATCTCACATGGCCTCAGATACAAAAGTCGGATTCAAGGGTGGAAGGTTATATTCCCTACAGTTACTAGGTGGATTATGAAAGGGTATCATGGAGCAGAATCGGATTGACAAATTACTTCTCTTTAATAGCCGCCCCCAAATTTTGTCACAAAATCTGAAATAATAGACGAAGAAATTCTTAATTTCAAACTACAAGTCTTTCATTTTGAAACAAAAGACAACTGGAAATTTCAGCTTTTAGTCCCTGAGCTGATACTCAAAAAAAGAAAACTCTTTAGTCATGTATGTCATCTTGACATTATTATAAGGTCATCTCAATATTGATAGTCTTTCAGCATTTGAGTCACTCATTGTCCAGATCTGGCAGCTTTACCAATCTGGATACTGGTCTCTGATAGTCTTGTTCCCCTACTCTGACGCTGGCAGAGCGCACTCTCCTGTCTGAACCACTGAACGCGTCAGTGACTCGTCCAACCAACCACTTGGCACGTATCTGCTGGGGGTCCACGATCATAACTACATCACCTTCTTTTACATTGTCCCGATCTTTCTGCCATTTACCACGCGACTGTAGTGATGGCAGATATCTACGTATGAAGGTCTTCGAAAACTGATCTGCCAGTATCTGACTATGCCTCCAGCGCCTCTTCCCAAGCAATTCATCTTCAGGATAAACTACTTGAGGGAGTGACGCATCACATCTTCCAAGCAAGAGTGGATTGGGAGTGACAGGGTCAACATCAGCTATATCACTCGACACGTAACCTAGAGGTTTTGAGTTCAGGATGGAGGCAATTTCTGCAAGGACTGTTCTAAGCACAGATTCTGTGACGGTTTGCTCCCCTAATATGGCATACAGTCCCTGTTTCACTGACCTTATCTCCCGCTCCCACAGGCCTCCGAAATGTGGAGCATATGGCGGGTTGTACCGAAATCGGATTCTCTGTGAGGACAGCTGGCTGTTAATCTCAGGATTCATTGCAGTGAATGCATCGTGAAGTTCGCTCTCTCCACCTTTAAAGTTTGTGCCACAGTCTGAGAGTAGTTCATATGGTTTACCATGATGTGCGATGAATCTTCTCACTGCCAACAGGAAAGCGTCCGAGTCCATACTTTTCAGGAGATCAAGATGTACTGCCCTAGTCGTCATACATTTAAAGATTACTCCCCATCTTTTATACTGTCGACGACCCAGTTTTATCCTCATAGGCCCAAAGCAGTCAACTCCAGTGGAGTAAAAGGCTGGTTTATGTAGGCGAAGTCTCGCTATTGGCAAATCTGCCATCTTGGGCAACTTTGGGCTTGCTCGTAGCTTCTGGCATTCGATGCACTTCCTTTGGTGTTTCTGGACTGCTTCTCGACCTCGAAGGATCCACACCTTTCTGCGTAGTTCTGCAAGTAGTCTTTCAGGCCCATAATGGTGCAGTCTATCATCAAAGTCCTTGATCATAAACTTCGTGATTGTGTGATTTGGGTCTATCACACCTGGATGCTTGGCATTTTCCGGTATTTCTTCTGCTAGCCTCAGCCTGCTGCCTACTCGATAATATCATTCTCCGCATCATACTCTGGTGCTAATTCTATCAACCTGCTCGTTGAGAGAATAGACTTTCCTGACCTCAGTGCTACTAGTTCCTGTGGAAAACTCTCTTCCTGTACCTTACGTAATAGCACAGTTTCGGCAAGTTCCATACAGTCTACTGTGACTTGTGTGGTATCAACAGCCGCCCCATCAAGGCAATGTGCAGTTGCTTTGACTAATGACTCAAATGTAGAGTGCTTCGAAACGTCTGGTAGGTTCACAACTCTTGCTTGACACACAACTGTCTTTCTCAGTTCTGTTTCAGACTTCATGGTGATTTTATCACTTGACGTAGGAGGATATGAGGGCCACTCATCAGAGGGACCAAGGAGGAAGAACGGGCCACTTCTCCATCTGGAATCAACGCACAGTTCATATAGGAATTTACCTCTTGTGATGTCATCGGCTGGGTTTTCTTTTGTGTTAATATAGGACCAATTGTCAACTGGAGTCAATGACTGGATCTCGGTGACACGAGTGCCAACATATACCTTATAGCGGCAGGAGTCAGACTGTAACCATTTGAGAACTGTTGTAGAATCACTCCAGAGGTAGGTATCACTGATAGGTAGGCTCAGTTCCTTGCTTAATGTATCAGCAAGTTGGGCTCCGGTAAGCTACCGAGCCATAAACTCGTTCTGACGCATCACAGAAGACATGAAGTTGTTGGTGGGTTTCAGTGGTATCAAAATCAGGAGGTACATAGCAGCGTGGCATGTGAACTTCAGAGATGCTAAGCTCCGATTCCCATTGTGTGAATTTTTCTCTAAGTTCTCCATTGCTGATCTCATCTTCCCAGGTTCTCTTGGATTTCCACATGTCTTGGATCAATACCTTGGCACGGGCAATGAATGGTGTCAGGTATCCAATGGGATCATACAGGGTGGCAAGTACTTGATATACTGCTTTCATGTTCAGTGTGTCATAGGAGACAGATCGGTATTTGTAGGACAGTGAATCAGAGTCACATTTCCAACAGAGGCCAAGAGCAGCTTCATCTGCATTATCCTAATTCAGGGTCGACCAGAGTTCGAAAGAGGTTGATTTAGCCTCGCCAGGCAGGTCAGCTAACACTTCAGGTACATTGGATACCCATTGGCGGATGTTGAATCCACCTTCTTGTAAAACACGTCTCAGATTTGTGACCAGTTCTTTTGCTTTCACTGGATCTATTAAACTGTCAAGACAGTTGTCGACATAAAGGCTTCTTCACACACCTGGTGACTTCTGGGAATTGTTCTTGTGCAGTGATGGCGTGCTTCAGCAGTGCGTATGTTGCACAACACGGACTGCAAGTGGTACCGAATGGCAAAACTTGCCACTGGTATATGGTAGGTTCAATGTCAGTATTCATGTGTCGCCAAATGAATCTCAGTAATGGCTGGTCTTTAGGCAGGAGTCAAACTTGGTGAAACATAGCTTTTATGTCACCTGAGATAGCAATCTTGTTTCTTCGGAATCTCAACAACACACCTAGTAGAGAAGATCCAAGAGTGGGGCCTGGTATCAGTTGCTTGTTAAGACTTTCTCACTTGTACTCATAAGAACAATGGAAAACGAGACGAGATTTCCCATTATGCTCCAAAATATGGTGTGGAATGAACCATGATTCCTCAGACTTATTTGCTTCGTCCTCTCTGATCGCTCTGACGTAGTTGGAATTGACAAGTTTCTGGATCTCATTGTTGTGAATTGTGGACCATTCTGGTTTGTTCAGATGGTGTTTTTCTGTTCGTTTCAGGCTTGACATCACACCTTCTTTGCCTTCATGAAGGGTAGCAGCGTTGTTCCGTCGAAGTAGTGGAGTGGCATAGTGGATCTCATCATCAACTGTCATTTTGACTGTTTCACTATCCAGGATAGACAAGGCCTGTTTGTCCTCCTTTGACCTTATGACCTGCTTGCTTGAATAGGGTAATGTATCCATTTTCCACAGGTTCTCAACATGACGCAACAATTTCTTACTGTCCCTGGGCAGGCTTGTGAGAAAAGAAGTAGTATGGGCGTTACTGACTGGCAACTGAGTTGGTCCCTGTACTGCCCATCCAAACTTGGTACGCACTGCGACCGGTGTGCCTGGAGGGCCAAACTTGACCGGCTCAACTGGAAGAATGAGGTTGGTATTATCAGAGCCAATTAGAATGGTTGGACATACATTGTGTATGTCGGGAAGGGCTGAACCTTGGAGATGAGGGTACTCTCTTTGAAGGGAATCAACATCATAGGAGTATTCAGACAGGGCAATATGGTCAGATGTAAACACATCTCGAATTGTGAATCTCTCATTTGGCTGATCAAGCGGGGAAATGTCAAAGCTCACAGAATGGCCATGGCAGTCAAAAGTTCTACTTCGGATTGTAGACAGAAGAATGCTGGCTGATGTCCTTGATAACTCCAGCTGATTTGCCGTAGACGAAATAATCATTGTCCTCATGGACCCATCGTCAAGAATAGCCTAAGTCTGAAAACTGCAGGTAGGACCATGGAGAATGACTGGTACTATCTTCAGTATGATGCTTGCTGGATTGGTTGGCTGATCCACAAAAAGTTGCTTGACTTTGGTATGCTGGAAACTCTCTTTGATGTGATTGTTTGCATCATGTAGTATGGTGAGGTGAAGTTTGTTACATTTCATGCACAACTTCTTTAGGTTACACTGTTTAGCAGTATGAGCTCGTCCACAGTTCCAACACCCCCACTTATCTCTCATCCAGTTGACAACTTCACGCACGGACAGTTTCTGGAAGTCCGAGCATGTGCTAATGTGATGCTGTTTGTTGCAGTAAGCACAATATCCTGTTCGTTGGTTCCCTCTTGCTCCATCACAGTTATGGCTAGCCTGTTGATCTAACTTGGAGGTATTTGAGTTGAAGACTGAGGTGGGCATCTGTGGTAAACTCCTCTTCATTACTGGAGTCGATGTATCTCGTACAGGCTTTGGGGCTTGATACAAACTGGCTGCTTTATGAGCAATTTTCTTGGCCCGAGCTTTCAGCTTCAACCAATCCGAGAAGTGAAGAAGATTGTAGGTCCTGTCTTTATCCAGACTCAGAATACCCTTGTTCAGGCAGTATTCAATAAATCCATCCCGGTTGGTTTGTGGCAGTGTACTCAAATGACCCACATCTAAGTTAAAAACCGTTGTCACCCTCAAGGGACCGAAGCATTCCAACAAGTGTATGTACAGAAAGAGCGAGATTTTCAAATGTGTCAAAGTCATTGTATCTCACAGTAGGAAGGTTCATGATCATGGCTAGTTCACTTTGGACCAACTGTCTTGGCTGACCATACGTTTCTTTTAGAGCTTGCATAGCACTAGTGTAGGGCTTCAAGTCATACAAGAAAGCCTTGGCAAGGCGCCTTGGAGAACCACCCAATCTATCCAGCAACACCTTAAACTTAAACTGCTCTGACAAATGGACGTGGCTATCTACAATACTGTCAAAAGCCATCTTGAGGATAGCAAAGTCTCTCTCCTTACCATTAACAAACGATGGAAGTGTAGGCTGGGGGATTCCATAGGATAAGGCAACCAATCGTTCTGTCATGTAATGTTGATTAGGAGGCTGTAGTTCTTGGTGGGAAGGAAAGCTTTGTTGAGTATTGGAGTCAAACCTTGGGGAACGTGTCACATGCTGGACTTGAGGAAGCAAACCGGAATTAGATGGCAAATCGCCAGGTGTATTAGTGTATTTGTCAACAAATCCAGTCTGGGTTCCACGTCGAGGATTGATCTCATTACTCAATTCATTATCTGGAACTAAGGATGTAAACACCGCTGCGTTTGGGTCCAGCAGAGACTCGTGAGAGTGTCACAATGGCAGAGTTATGATCAAGCAACTGATCAACCAGTTCTACTTCTGCTAACATCCTCTCTGCTTGGCGTACCTGCCTCTTACGGGAGACTTCCATCTGAAAACGCTCTCTTTCTTTCAAAGCTTTCCTTTCTTGCATCTGTGCCTGAATTCTAGCATGAATTATATCTTCCTCTGCCCTCTTCTGTGCCTCAAAACCCTCATCTTCTACTCTAGCTATCAAAACATCTAAGTGTCTATCTTCACTCTGTCTACGTTTCAACTCCTCTAATTCAGCACGTTTCCTTAATTTCTCAAGTTTTGCAACAGTGGTAAGACTGCTTGAAGAGTGTTAACTCACATTTGAACTTCCAGACCGATGTGAAGACTGAGATTTCCTTGACACTCTAGTTGACTTCTGTGACATTAGACTGAGTCCTCCTACTGATCCTAAATCCTCTTCCAATGCTCCAGTATGAACACTCTTGTCCTTATTTACATCCTCAGTGTTAGGGTTAGGCAAAGTTTCACACACATAGTCCTCAAGATAGGTTTGTGGCCTTCTCTCTCTTTTACTGGCCATAATCCCTATATTTCACAAAGTTCACAAAGTTCAAAATATTCAGCTATCCGGCTCGCGGGACCATGAAAAATAGTAAATGCTGGTTCTGGTTTCATGAGTTTAATTCATGAGTTTAGGTATCAAATACAGCTGCATGGCATCAAGGTGTCACACACACCCACACTCAAGAGCACATGTTATACATCTCACATGCATATGGCCTCAGATACAAAAGTCGGATTCAAGGGTGGAAGGTTATATTCCCTACAGTTACTAGGTGGATTATGAAAGGGTATCGTGGAGCGGAATCGGATTCACAAATTACTTCTCTTTAATAACCTGCCATCATCACTATTTTTGTTACTGATATTATTTAATATCAAATTTTAATTTCCAAATGTCTACCATTACACGTTTTAAAAGCTTTACAAGGCGTTGGGTTTTCAATACTGAGCAAGGTCGTATGGTGCTCTCTTAAATCTTTGTGAAAGAGCAAGCTTGATTGTCCCTTT